TCAGTTAAATTCAACAGTTTTTTTTATATAATTCTATAGAAGCTCACACCATCGTGGGATGAATGGAAACCACCTCAATCTTTCCACTGACAAGAGTCGCAACAATTTAAGTTAATAAAAAAGGAAATTAGAAAAAAAGCAATTTTGCAAGATATAAATTAAATCTTCTATTCCAAAATCTATTCCAAATTTGCTGAAGAATTATCTGACAAAATGCCAGATCAAGGTCTTTACAGTTTATATTCCTGTAAAAAAATGCACCAATGAAATTTATATTTTGCTTGGTTGCATAACGTAGCTATCATTTTGTAAAATTCCAAATTTGCTGAAGAATATATCTGACAAAATACCAGATCAAGGTTATTTACAGTGTTATCTCTGTAAAAAATGCACTCATGAAATTTATATGTGCATTGGTTGAATAACGTAGCTATTATTACGTAAAAACAATGTTTGCCACCTGACTCTTTCATTTTAGTTTGGCTATTGGGTAAACGGACCATGTGACAAATTTTTGAACAACAGCTAGAAACATTTCTACAATGATGAATTGGCTTGGAGTTTTACTGAACATAGTCAGATAGTTGTTTGTTGGTTATTTTTAGTTGTGATATCATTGGTTTGGTTTTAACAATATAATTGCTCAAATATGAACTGAACCTTTGTGCACTGCTCTGTCCTATAATTAATTTATCAGAGAAATTTAAATCCTGGTGCTTCTAAACAACTAAATAATGCGCTATATTAAATAATTAATTTATTTACGTTAGTCTTAGATTTAGTATATAAGTCAGGTCAATTAAAGCTTTTTTCTACAGTAAAAAAATGCATATTCCCCATTCGATGCGTCGCACGCCATCATAAAGCATTCGTGTCTCATATATTCCAGGCGCCCGTTCAGTCATTGGAACAACTGGCCAGACAATCCAGGATTAATTACACCGTCGTTGCGAATTCAGACACACATCGCTATTTCATCAACATGAAGTTCGCAGAGGACACATTGTACCGGTACTGTATAAAACACAGCAGGGTTTGTTGCAAACATATACAACTGTTAGGGTTGTCGAACCCTTTCTTCAATTAATAGGCAATTGTGGGAAATCATGAAAAACAGTTACTAATTACAGTTAATTTTACTATAATGAGGCTTTAACTTTTAAATAATAAGTGCTTTCGAATTGCATTTTCAAGTTTGCACTTTTAACAGATTGGTGCAAATAATCATTTTTTTTACAAATTTTAAGAGTTGATTTTTTGGGAATTTATAAGAAATTTTATCGAGTTAGTGATATTTAGAAACAATTTTGGAATGAGAACAATGTTCGTATTAATAATTAATAATATTTCCGTAATTATTTAGAATACATTAATTACATTAGAACCTATTTTTTTGTTGGAAGTGGTTTTTGAAAGAATTCATTTATAAATGTACAAAATAATTCTACATGAAGATAATATATGTTACAAAATAATGAAAAAAGAAGAATTTCTTGGAAAAAAATCGAAAATTCTTGAAATATTCCCAAATTCTTTAAAGTCCTACAATTTATGCAATTAATTGTATAAGTTGTACAATAAGGGAAAACTCCAACATTTAAGTATACTCCCCAAATTATAGGCATCACAAATTTTTATATCAAATATCAGTACCTTTGATAATTAATAATTGAGTACTAAAAAACTAAGTTAATAATCAGCTTTAATAATAATTAAAAAATCTTGCGTAATTTTTTTGACGATAATTTATCAATGCATAAAATAATCCAAAATTTAATTAAAAGAAACATTTCTTGATCATTTTCCAAATATTACTATTAACGGAATCCGTCAACAATTAAAGAAATACCTAAAAAATAAGAGCATCACAAATTTTAATATCAGATGTTAGTAACTTTGATAAATAATAATTGAGTACTAAAATATATTAATACCTAATAATTTCTATTGATGATTTAAAAACTTAGCATAATTTTTTTGTCAAGTAGTTTTTAAAAGAATTTAAAGAAATAATTCTAAATTCGTACCAAATAATAAAAAAAGAAAATTTTCTTTTTCAAAATATTATTAATAAGCGATTATTTATATAAGCTGAACAAAGAATCCCACAATATTTTAAAAGAACACCCCGAATATTATCATAAATTTTACATTTCATATTTGTTCATCAGATATCAATTACTGTCATAATCAATAATTGAAGAATTACAGAGATGAATTTATTCTATTAATAATAAAAAACAACTAGCGTATTTTTTGCCAAGTGGTTTTTAAAAGAATTAATTTAAAAATGAATCAATGTACAAAATAATTTTAAATCCAAAGTACCAAATAAAAGAACAGTTTTTTGATGATTCTCTGAATATTTCAAAATGTTAGTAATAAGGTGACCATACATCCCGGTTTGGCCGGGACAGTCTTGGATTTCCACCTTGTGTCCCGGGTTTTTCTAAAAGCAATATTTGTCCCGGATATCTTTTGTTTCGGATTGTCCCGGGTTTTCGAAAAGTATAGAATAAATTCAATCTTCGCACTTACTTGATAATAAAATTACAACTAACCATCAAATATCTGAAAATGATATGTACAACATGAAAAAGGCGGGTTAAAATAGCCTTTCACATTCTTAATTTTGAACTTCTATTTTTAATTCTACGAAAATTAACAATAAATATGGAAATGAACTTTTTGACTGTCTGGAATGAGTGCTAATTATTTTTAAATAATTATAAAGAGAATGTTTTGGCATTTAAAAAACCCTCCCTTCCACTGTCTGGAATGAGTGCTAATTATTTTTAAATAATTATAAAGAGAATGTTTTGGCATTTAAAAAACCCTCCATATCCCGACCCTGATTAGCATACCTAAAAATTACTGTCCCGGTTTTGACTTGAAAAAATATGCTCATCTTATTAGTAATAATGCGATTATTTGTATAAGCTGTACAAACTCGAGGAAAGCTCCCAAGATTTGAAGGAACTCCCAAAATTTTGCGTCATAAATTTTTACATAAGATACTAGCGATAATTTATAAAATAAAATATATCAATGTGAAAGATATCAGTGTGGACTTAGTAAGAACTTTTGTAACAATAAGGTTTTCATCTTTTTAGGGTTTGGAAAGAAATTACTCTAAACAGCACCAGTGACCAAACCCAGTATCGCGTTTGGGATTATCCAATCAAGGAACAATATGGCCACATTTTGATGGCCATCAATTCATCGATGCCCGTGGAAAACGCTACCGTCGGCTTCTTAAAAGTCAATCAACATGAAGACGCCGACTTCGCTTTCATTCACGACTCGGCGGAAATCAAGTGAGTTCTAATATTAGTACACAACCCACATGTAATGAATAGAGTGATAGTTGGTAGAGGATTTATTGAAAATAATAATACTGAAAGCCTCAAAGTAATCAATGCGATTTATAAATGTTTGATTTGAAAAATAAAACAAAATGTAATTCTCAACAAACATTTATTAACTGAAAAATTATAGTAGAAAAATGAATGGAGTACCGGTTACCTACCAGCTACTACTACATATTCTTGAATCTTTTTTTCACCATTTGGTATGGCCTATCTATTTTTCTTTTAAACTTTCTGCTTCCTTCTACGAGCCTGTATAGGTAATTAGAAAATATCAGCAATCTGATCTGGCATATTTTCGACAATATTACTATTAAACGATTTCTCCACCAGCTCTTCTGATTTATAAGTGCCTTCGCTTTCGCTAACCGTTTTATCTTATGCGTAGACATTACTTTTGGCTCGTGAACCGCATATAGATTATTGCTAGAGATGTCTGGAGTGTTGTTGCAAATAGAACAAAACGATCATTTATTTAATTATGACAGTTAGTCTTGAGCGTTAGCCAATTTTCGCCGATGTATCCCATTTTCTCGTAAATTTTCCTATATGAATATTACTATGATCATGATACACCAACCGGATTAGAACTAGATTTATTATATATTGCATGTGCAAAGGTCAGCTTTTCATTGATTGGAGATCTTGATTAAACTTACATAGACATACATTTAATTTCAATATAAACGTTTATATGTAAATTTTTTAAAATTTTTTTTTAATGACCTAATCGATAATCAAATATATTGTGATTGACATATACTACTTATATTTTAGTTTATGGACCGATTCTGCCGCATAACAGACCAATGTTATGGCAAGGCTATATTATGAAGAACTTCCCAATTCGTTCTAAATATTGACAAAAGCCATGTGGTTGCTGTGCAGTCAGGCATTTTTCTCAGTTTGTCAGATATAAAACCTAACCCACAAACCACACAAATGTCAAAAAACGATGTTAGATAACGGGGCCTTTCTGACTCTGCTTCATAACATACGAGTAACGTTGCAATTTACGTGTAAAACGCCTGAATGCACAGCAAATACATGATATTTTGGCAGTATTCAGTATGATTCAGTAGCTTAATGTATGCAAGTTGGAGCGTAACATGGCCTTGCCATAACATTGGTCTGTTGTGCGGCAGAATCGGCTCATTAATGATTGTATCAATACTTCTGACGATAAGTGATCTTATTAAGCGGCATCTTTTGACTGTTGGTTTTGAAGCATATTGGTGTTTATGGGCTTTTCCGTGATTAGGTCTCAATCATAGATCTCAAGTTGGATACCCTCCTCGGGCAGCTTGATGTCAACCAGGAGTGACATCATAGATAGCAAATGTTTCCAAGTGGAAATAACCCTTGTCTGTCATTAATAAAAAATCAATAAAAAATCACCTCTATTACAAAAATAATAATAATAAAATTCATCATATTGAGATATTGCAATCTACATGAACCTGCAAATTAAGTTAAGTCAAATCATCGCAGCGGCTTATGAGATCCTTGAGTTGTGATCAAATCTTTTTTTATTATTATTTTTGAACTGCAAATAAAACTTAAAGATTATATAAGCTGTTGTGCTGATTTGTCTTAATACTAGTCGGTTCTACAGATGGCAACCCAAACAGTTGTCACCTCTCGAAATATTATGACATTTTCTGTAATAGGGCGAATATTTTATTGATGCAGCAATGCCGGATCAGGGCATTGCTGGGATCAGGGTCATATAAGCTGTTGTGCTGTTTTGAATTAATACTAGTCGGTTCTACAGATGGCAACCCTAACAGTTGTCGCATCTCGAAATATTATGACATTTTCGGTAATAGGACGAATATTTTATTGATGCAGCAATGCCGGATCAGAAATATTTTTTAGTGAAAACCGATGTCACTACTGCTTAATTTAATAATTAACATATTGATATTGCTATCTATATTTCTAAGTGAAAACCATTATCACTACTGCTTGACATCAAACTACTCGAAGCTGGATCGATATCTGATTCAGGTCTAGCCGTTCTTGTCACTTTCCTACAATCAAATAATATAAAAAATATTGGTGTTTATGGCACACATGATCTAACTAAGATATATTTTTAAAGGTATATATATTTTTTTTTGATATTATGTAGGGGAAAGTCCCGTAACGCCGGACGGCACCAAGTATCCGACATTCTATTTAATACGTATTATTTAAGCGAGTATAAATTTTTTCATTTCAAAATACAAGTGAAAGGGGCACGGGGGCACACAGGTACAGGATCAAGCGTCAAGCCTCGTCTGTGACGCACACGGCCACGGCGAGAGCAAACCTTTCCTGTTTCAGGCGCAAAATCACGGCGTCACCTAAATATCAATGGAAGTAATTCTAGCATATTTATGCATTTACATTTGAGTGGTATGCAAAGATAAAAGTTGTACTTGATTGTTATCCGTAAAATGGTGAAATATTATTAGATCTTTTAACCAATTTTAGTAGGTGCATTAAGTCGTCCCTTAGTGCCGGACAGTAAACATATTGATATTTCTTGTGAGAATTTACGTAATTTATTTCAATTATTTAATTTTGTTCTGTATGAGTGCTAACGGTCACTACATGCACCCATTTTTGGTATTTCCTAGTCAAAGAATGAAAAGCTTATAATGAATGCACCAGCTGAGAGCATCGGTGTGGCCCAGCCAAAAGGGTGGATGAATAGTGACTTTTTTGCAATATCTAAGAATATTCGTCAAACACACATATGTGGAGACAGTGTAGATGGCTACATATGTGATCAATGTAGGTTATTTTGAAATGTCCGGTACTAGGTGCCACTGGTTAAAATCATATTCTTTTGATACCAAAGTTTGATTGATGGTATTAATTATTTTTTAGCAAAGATTGCAGTTTTGTTAAATTAGTTTGATTTCTAACTTTGTTATATAACATAAATCATAATTTAATAAACATTTCGTAAATTATTTTTTTATTTATTTATAAATAACCTTAGGTGTCCGCCACTTGGGAACTTCCCCCTACTTATTATAATAAAATTATCAACCTATTCGATTTTCACCTGTTTCATATTTTCTACACGAATATGGTTTTAAACCTAATTGGTGCTAGTATGACTATTAAGTATATATAATTGAATTAACTATACTTTTCATTTACATATTTATTTTTTAAATATACCAATATTAAGCGTTGCTTCCAAATGAACGTTCTTAGTACATGTATGCATGCAAAATGCTACTTCTGTCATATTCAAATCTAATTTACATACGTCGTAAAGTTATTCGTTATTGTGTGCAGCACGCACTAGACTAATTATGCCTTTATTAATCTATTATGCGATAATTACGGGTCTCGATAAATTCATGGCGTCGCCTCGTGTCAGTATATTAATCAAACTATAAAACTAAAAATTATGACTATTTAATAGAAACGTAACAATTATGATAAGCATTATATAGGCTAATAGTTACTGAGGGGGGTAATGTTTTATTAATATATTGTTCTACACTATACTCTATAAATGTACCTGTATTGCGGTGACTTATTAAAGAGCAATTCCTTTCGCAGGTTCATGTTTTTTGAGGTTCTACCCACAAACTTTTTCGAATATTACCACTTAATTCAGGCTCCCATAATATTCCTTATTTATCTCCGACCTTATTTTCTTTAGATTATTTTCACTCAAATTACCCGTAGGGTAAGTTATAGTAATCGCAAAAAATCGAAATTGAAAATGAAATTATATATCGTTACGTTTCCTGAACATTTTGACATACCTTAGAAAAAATGGATGTATGTGTGTGTGTTGGAATACAAATTTTTGTCGACGATTTTGAGAGCACGGTTTGACCGATTTGAACGATTCAAAAAACATTCGATTCGTCTTGATAAGGAGACGTGCTGATTAGTTTTTGAAGAAGGCAGTTCGAGTCGTCAATCATTCAAAAAACATTTTACTTTTATTGATAAAATGAAGAACTGATTAAATTTTTGGGAAAGCAGGTTTAGCGATTTCAGAGATCGAGTAAAAAGCCATTTAGCGGTCAAAAATGATCTTTAAATATACGTACATCAAATTCTCACATATTTTATGGAGATTTTAATAATAAGTATAAATTTTGTTTGCAGTTCTATGGGTTACGTAACATTGTTTATCCGCTCGACTGCGACGCGGCGCTTATGCGCTTCGATATTTTGTCTCTACGCAGCTAAAGCAGCACGATTACTTTGAAAAAAAGTTCAAAATTTCAATATCATTCAAATTTTATTTCAAATATTTCAAAATATAATAAAAATATTTTTTTTAAAAGTCAATTTTCATCAAACCTCAATCAGAACTTTCGCTCGTATTTAAATGATAACCCACCTGCTAACCCAGAGATTTTCAACCTTTTCGTACCGCACCTTCTTGTTTTTTTTTAAAAAAATATTGCAGGTGGCTCGTCCCAGTGCTGAAAATAGACTTAACCTATCTATATTTTAATAATTTATTATTATAATTAATCTAATATTGATTATGTATTATTTTATTAGATGCACAATGCTCGCCAAGAGTCTTTTTCACTTGGAAACATATTTTAGGGTACCGATTCTGCCGCATAACAGAAAAATGTTATGGGTAAGCCATGTTACTCTTCAACTTGCATACATTATGCTACTGAATCATACTGAATACTGTCAAAATGTCATGTATTTGCTGTGTATTCAGGCGTTTTACACATAAACTGCAACGTCACTCGTATGATATGAAGTCAGAAACACCCTGTTATCTAAGATCGTTTTTTTGTTACATTTGTGCGATTTCTAGGTTAGGTTTTTTATGTGACAATCTGAGAAATACGCCTGACTGCACACTAACCCCATGGCTTTTTTCAATATTTTGTAAGGAAAGTTCTTCATAACATGGTCTTGCCATAACATCTTTCTGTTATGCGGCAGAATCGGTCCCT